GAACCCCAATAGCTATTATTTATAAACAAGAGTCTAGGGTTTATATGGCTAGGGTTTTGCCATCATCATGAGGTTTAAGCTTGACCTTTGATCTTGGAGGCCTATAGGTAGGGCTGCAAATGGACAGGACAGGGCCGGGCCTGGTTTCGGGCCCATAATGGCGTATTTTTGGGTTAATTTTGGACTCCAGGCTCGGTCGGGCTGCAATATGATCACAACAATATGGGCACGGGCCGGCTCGAAAAAGCCTGTTTTGCTCCAAGCAGGCATTGAAACCCACATCATGGCCCCGGCCCGGCTTGGCCCAATTAGTAGATTTTTTATTTTTTTTAAAAGTCTTCAAACTCTTTTTTATTTTTTTGTATTTTTATTTCAAAATTTTTTTTTATAATAAGAAAAAAAAACTCTACTCTCTCTCTATCTCCCTTTGAAACCCAAAATCTCTTGCTCTCTTAGTCTCTCTAGACCTTTTAACCCAAAAAAAGGACCTAACCCTCTCTCAATATCTTTCTTTAAAACCGAACCCATAAAAGAAAACCCTCGCTCTCTCTCCCTCTTCCCTCTACTGTGACTCATAGAACCCTCTCTCTCTCTCTGTAAACCCCCCTCTCTCTCTCTCATGGGCGTGGAGGTGAGGGAAAGTCTGTTCTTCTAAGAAGGGTAGAGAGATGATGAAGATGGAGTAAAGATTTTGGGGTTTTACAGGGGCATGAGCGAGGAGCAAGGAGAAGGCTTTTCATACTTAACATGGCCCTGGAGTCAGAGGCTCAGCCTAGAAATACGGTGATGACAAAAAACAGGGATTGGTGAGATTATTACACTAATAGGTACAATGAGATGATTACATTAATGGGGTTTGCTCAGGATTTAGAGAGAGAGAGTGGAATCATTCTACGATTACTAGAAGGAAAAGATGGAAGTTTCTGATGATAATGGTATTTATGATGTTGTGTATTAGAAGGAAAAGTTGGAAGCCTCTGATGATAATGGTATTTATGCTGTCTTTGTTTATTTGGATTTTTAGTGTTCGGGTCCTTCTTTGTTTATTTTGTTTCTGTTTTATGTGGGTTTTCTCACCCTGCCCAATTCAGTGCTTGTGGTGTTTTGATGCTTCTTTTATTTTAATAATTATTTAATTTTATATTGAATGTCAGATTTCTTTGGACAGTTTGAGGAGAAAGTTGAAAAAAAAAAAAGGTAATAATTGGGCCAGGCCTGGATTGGGTTGGGCCAGGCCCAATAGGCCTACATGGTCTTTTTCAGGCAGGGATTGGCCTTTTGTACGCATTTTCGTCTTAGCGGGAGGTTCCGGGCCACACATGAAAGTTTGGGCCTATTACGGGTCGGGCCTTCCCGGGCTTCTTTTTTGGGCAAGGAGCGGCTGGCCCGGCCCGCAAATATTTTCGTGCTTTCCCCCGGCCTGCAAATATTTTTGTGCTTTTCGGGCCTCAAGTCGGGCCAGCCTGGAGCCCGCTCGTTGGCAGCCCTACCTATGGGGTGAAGAGATTTCAATCATTCGTTTTCTAAATCAGCCATCATGATTAAAGAAACGATGTGGAATTTTATCCCTCAGTTTCCATAACTCCATTCCCATCAAATATTTTGTGTAGAGAAAGTAATCAACCAATGTCTCATAAGGCCTTTAAATGGCCACAAAACCCCAACAAGATCACCTCTAATATCACTAGCTCTTGCTTCATTGAGCTGTCCAACAAAAAGATGCTTTAAGGACAATAAAAGTGTGGTGCTTTGAAGTTTAACCTATCTTCATTGAGTTCCCAACAGTCCAGAATGAAGATGAAAAAAGCTATATTGTAAGTGTGCTTGGATCCATCTTTGGAATGGTTGCAATATAGTTATTTTGCTACAAAGAGTCTCAAAGATTAAAAAACTCTCCAGTTTCTTCTTGTTATACATATAATTATGGAAGTCTGATTTTAATGTTACTTGTTGAACCATGGACATGCATGTTGGGTAATTTGCTCAGTAGATTGCATTTTCCTGAATTTGGTAATTATTTTTATTTTTATTTTTTTGTGTGTTCTCTTGTTTAAAATTAGGATGTCTTATAGGTATATATAAAAGTACAATTTGTATTAGATAGTATTTTTGTAACAGAATGAAATTGATAAAGGTGATCATGCCTATATGCAATAATTTTTTTTGTGTGATTTACAGATTAGTAATTCGACTTATGTGTGGGGTTTTGTTGGAAGTTTTGTTGAAAAGTTGCACAAAAGCATTGAGAAGGATTCATCTACTGTATTGAAGCTGCAACCATTCTTTCTTAAACTTCATTCCATGCTTGAAGCGCCAGTGTTTCGATTATCACAAGGGAACAGGTGTGCTATTGTTCACTTTGGCTCCAAAGTAATTGGTTACTTGTTTTCCTTTTATCTTCATGATTTGTACAAGTTGTTAGTTTTCCTATGCCTACTAGATATAAAACACATTCCTTCATTATTGGTTTGGGTGCTCCAAAGCCAGTATCTATGAAGACATGATGAAAATATCATCGTTGAGGTCTTTTGTAGCAATCTGCAATTCGCTATATAATTGACGATCTTAAATCTATGGGTTTTAGACCCCTTCTTTTGTATGATAGAACTGGGAATTCAGTAAATTCAATGATAATATTTACTATTAATCACCACGGTTTGTTTCCTTTTGTTAAACCAAATTATAATTTACCAAAAATTTTTCGAAGTATGAGCGATGATGCATGGTGAAAGAGCAAAGCCTAGGTTGGTAAAACAATCGCAAAACCCCAATCTGTTCCGTAAGAAACTCAAGTTTTCAACTGAATATTCTTTTGTGGTTTATGAGAGAGGTCCACAGTATTTGCTAATGTTTAATTTCAAGATGACATCCTTGTAATCTCTTTGGGATTGAAGAAGTTCTCCTGAGACATAGGATTTAGTAAATCGCTTTCAGTGACCGCAGTCACCCGAAATCTTTGGTTGAAATATGCAGCTGCCAGAAGTGCTTATCTGTTCGCCCAAGTTTCATCTTCAAAGGTCTAACCCCGTGGTCCTGCGTAGCACTTTTGTATGGCTCTCTCCACATTCCCTTTGATTCTGCCATACTCCAAGGGGTTGGGATTTTTCGGATGCACCATTGAAAATCAACTTGATGGTGTTCTGGATAATTATAATGAGGAGGGCCCTTAAGGAACCATAGGAGCTTCAACTTTTGATGAAAATCTTGGGACTGAAAAAATGAATGAAGTAACCCTTTTCCTAGGCTTCAGTTATAGAAATGAAAGAGTGGACAATGTGGGGAATCAGAAGCTACTAGAGTCTACCATGTTGCCATGCATTTCAAGTTCTCTTTTGATAAATCATCAATTTTTCCTCCTAAGAGGGTGAGAGAAATGAAGCTTGCGTTAATTCTCAATATCTTTACTGCCTTCCTGTTAGGACTTAGGGCATATTTCTCGTAATGGCATCACATGATCCTATGCGACATGTGCCCACTATGTAGAGTGTCGAGGGGTTAGTTGGAGGCTCAAAGCTCCCCCTCATGTTTTAGCCTTGGATGGTTGGCATACCACATGAGTATGTTGATGATTGAGTGCCTTCCGAGGCAGGGTGTGCTGCTTCCCATTATGTGTAGGTTATGGTGACCTGAGGAGGAAACAACAAACCACCGTCTTATCCATCGTAGATATTCTATGGGTCTATGTTCTTTGCCTCTCTGTCATGCAATGGGTGATCCCAGATTTTGTGGAGGACTGTGTGTCTCTATGGCAATTTGACCTAGAGGCTGACAGCTGTGGCAATTACAGATTATGGCCATTATCTGTGCATTTTGAAAGACCAGAATGGTCTTACTTTTCGGGATCAAAGGGTGCAATAGTTGGTCTTGAGGGAGTAGATTACAAATATGATGATCTTGTGGATTTTGCTTTGACTGAATCTCGAGTTTAATGCCATTGAACTTGGTTAAGGATTGTTAGGTTTTGGACTTATCAGGTCCATCCTTGCTTCAATCTAGGACAGTTTGGGTTGCTGCGGTGGAGGGTGCCTAAGAAGCGAAGTTTTGATAGATGCTGATGGGGTAATCCTGGATTGGCAGGTACGAGTGAAATTTTAGAGATGAAGAAGGAAGGAAGCTTAAAAGCTTTTCAGGCCCTGTATAAATATGTGATTCTGCAATAGGTCATGCATTGCTTACAAGTCTTCATATCTGTCCTTTCCATTTAAGGAGTCCATTGGTAGAAGAAGGGGATTCACTAAATGTCAAAAGATCTATCAGTACAGAATGCTATATTCCATAGAGGTTCGCTGACATATTTGGTGGGATCTTTACATTTGTGATACTAAGAATGTGACATGTGGGCATTCTTAGGAAAGCTAACCAAGACGATGATACCCTTGCAAATGAAGGGGTTCCGCAAAAATCTCTCAACATGGTATGGTGTGTTGGAATCTTGAGATGCAGTCTTCACAACTATTGACCTTGGTATTTTTTTTTTTTTTGAGTCTCTTTGTAATTTTCGTTTAGCAGTAAAATCTTTTGTTGATGATCAATGAGAAAAAAAGCTCTTTTAACAATAAAAAAAAGAACATGATGAGTAACTTTTCTGTTGTAGCACGTGGAGAGAAAGGAAGAACACAGTTTTTTGAGACACAATGTGGTAACCTTGACTGTTATCACTCAACAGTAAATTGTCTCATGGGTTAGATATAGAACTTAAATGGTTGGAATTGATGGTGAGAATCGATATTGAAGTATTGGAAGTCATATTGGATGAAATTTTTGTGCATGATCCATGAGTCAATGGTGAGTGCCAGGATACCAGAATATGATGGAATGATAAAAGACATGGGGGGATATCATCCTCAAATGTTTTGCGGGATGATCTTGACAATGTTACTTAGTGAAGGCAATTTTGACTTTGGGTTGGTGTTAGTATATTGATCAAAATTTTTGTACCAGTGGACATTCAGAGAGATTCACCAAAAATTGTTTCATGGCTCAAAGGGGAATGGCATAATTTGGTGGAGGCGAATATGACCACTCGTTTTGGAGGTATCACAGAGCTCTACAACGCCAAAACCACTTACGCCGGTTTTGCCCTCTGAATTTGGCCCAAATAATGCCTCTAAAGAACTCAAATTGGCTTACAAAATGCAAATTTAGTGGTGAAATTGTCTTTTTTTTCATAGATAGAGATGTCTTTACGTAATTGAGTTTCTTGGAGTCAAAGTTAGATTTTAGATTGTTAGTAGAGGTCAGTGAGGAGATGTATTAAGTTTTTTGACACATTTCTTGCTTTGAGATTCCTGGTTCAACCATATTTAGCTATTGAAGCTTGCTTGTGAGCTTCCCCTTCTCTGTTTTGGCCAATATATTAGATCTTTGCTTTGTTTTTTCTCTGTTTTTAGTTCTTTTCTCCGTCACAATTCTATGGAGAATAGATGAAAATTTTTCTGATATCCAAAATGTAATATGTGATCTCAATATATGAATATGTCCTATATCAAGGAAAGCAAATGTGATGGCACATTTAAGTGGAACTAGTTGCATCTGCAAATTTGGAATTTATTGTCACAATAGTTGCTCTTTTGCTTTCTACCCATGTCTTGTTATCTTTTAGTTAAATCATCATCATCATCAGAGCCTTTTGCCAACTATTTGAGGTGAGCTACATGAGTCTTGGTACCTCCATTCTGCTCTATCAAGGGCGATACTCTCATATAGGTCATAAGTCCCATAATCTTTTCTCACTACTTCCTACTGTCATCTTCTAGTTAAATAAAGTTCATAAATTTCGCATCATAAGTATTGGTATGCATTTTTTTTCTAAAGCAGTACATTCTGGAATTGGTGTTACTCAAATAACTATTTGTTCTTAATTTATCTGGAGTATTTTTTTCTTATAGGTTATTGGAGAGTTCTGTTCTTATTTTGTGTATCTAGTGACATGTCTTTCTTAGTACACATGCAGTGTGGACCTTCAGTTTGTCTCTGAATATTATTCTTCAGAGTTGGTGGCTTATATATGTGCAATTTTGGAAATCATACCGGTGAGTTTCCTTCTTGTATGAGTTACAATCATGCTACTGCTGGACAACATTATAGTAGAAAGAAATTGTAGCCTATTTAAGAAAATGAGCTGTTAGATTCTCTTTTGTTGTTTAGTTATGAATAAGAACATTTATTTATTCCTATAGAATCTTAATTCCATATTTACGTGCACTTGTATATGTTTGGGTTGCAGTAATTTATAACTTACATCTTATGCTGAAATAGCTTTTCATGTTTTCTTTCTTGAACAAGAATTTAGTTTATCACCAGCTACTTGCTTTCCACCAATGTACAGTTGGAGAAACATCTTGTAGTGAGTTGGGATGTAAGAAGTTGCGAAAAAACACCATGCCGCAATGTCAAATATATTCTTCAGTTATTAAGAATTTGCCATCCCAAACTGCAAGTGCGATGGTCATAACACAAATACATGTATATGAGGCACTATTGTATCTTGAGCGACTCAGGTAAGGTGGTTCTGATGGTTGAAATCCCCAGAAAAAGTATATCGCTCTCTGATTCTTGGTTTCACCATTCTATGGATATGGAAATCCTAGTATCTGGGAGTCAAATAACTGTCAGTTTGTGGTCAGATGATCTTGGCAGCCTAACTTGTAAGATTGGCCAGTTAGTGTACTCTTGTGATCTGGCTGGTTCCTACCTTTGAAAGAAGAAACAAGAACTCTGAGTAAATGTACGCATGTTTCCAGTTTGTCAAAAAAAATGTAGGCCTCTTTCCAGTTTGTCGGTTCCTGTACTTTGGCCTAGTTCAATTTTGTAGGCTAAGAGAAAACCACTCTAATCAATTGGTCTGATTGCTTATTTTGCCAAGTTCCAGACATCGTTGAGAAGATAGTGTATAGAAAAACAAGAAAAAAAAAATCTGGTCAATAAGATTGATTTTCAATAACAAGTGAAGTCCCTTGTCGGTTTTCACTTTGGTTCTTCACGCTTGCCCATCTTGAAATCATTTCGTATGCCCTAATGCTATGTAGAGAATCTGGCCTTATGTGCTATTTTTCTTGTCTGAATGTTAAGATGATTTCTTCTGTTCACTCAATATCGATATTGGGCTCCTTGACATCTGCAGTTGAATAAGATACAATAATGCTAGCAGTTATTGATATCTTATTGTGCTGATAACATGAACTAATCCTGGGGGATGAGAAGCCGTAGTCTAATACTTTGATCAGCATTTGCTTCCACCAGGAACACTTCTGTTCACTCAATGTTGGATATTGGGCTCCTTGACATCTGCAGTTGAATAAGATGCAATAACGCTAGCAGTTATTGATATTTTATTGTGTGATAACATGAATTAATTCTGGGGGACGAGAAACCACAGTCTAATACTTTGATCAGCATTTGCTTTCACCAGAAACATGAGGATGTACTAGATAGACTCTGACTTATCACCTATACCTTCCTTTTGCTTGTGCCACTGCTGCGAAGCCAAGTTAATGATACGACAAAGTCAAGCTAGCGTGTTACACCGGGTTTCTTTCTAATAATCCTACCTGATGTGTTCCTTTGGTGTGACTACTAGATGCATCTGTTATCTGTGATCATTTGTCGTGACAGAGCAAAACATTCTTATCTCGGACTTGGAAATTGGTGTTGTATCTGAAAGGTGTCGCAATTGTTAGACATGTTGACAAAATAATGAAAATCTGTGACATGTTCTCATGACATGTTCTCAGAGTAATTTTTATATTTTTGATCGATTATGTTCTTAGAGTAATTTATGCAAAATAATGAAAAGTAAATAAATTGTTAATTGCACAAAACTATGTACAATGTGTGAAAAGTTTAAATTTGTTGATATTTTCTATTATTTTTACTAGATTAATTAGAGAAAAGATAACTAAGAAAAATAATGTGCGTTCAAGTGTATGAGTCTTGTCTTGTGTGGATGAAGGACGTGTCTGGCTACTGAGCAAAATGCCTCAGATTGATGATTTAGGAGCTAAAGTCCATACAAAATGTTCTTGTTTGGGTGCTTTTAGGGTTTAGCAGTTACAGCTATATGGTTAGCTTTCTTGGGAGGTTGTAATGGAGATGACTGACATGGCAAAACATTAGGACGGCATCTTCTGGGAGATAAAATGGACGAATGCAACTTAAAATTAATTTCCATGAAGGAAATGTGTCTACAGGCCTGCTCTTTACATTTTCCTTTCCTCTGGTTTGCGTTTTAAGGTAGTGCAGGGGTGGACTTGCTGACAGTTCAAAAGATAGATCTCATAAAGCTTGGGTCCCTCTGCCAGAGGGTATGATCTTCTCGTCTGGATTTTTCTTTGACAAAACTCATCATGCTGGATATTAGACATGTGCATAATGAAACTATAACAATTCACAAGTACCAGTAGTTTGACCTGAAGTTTAACTTCAGTTTCAGGATTTATCCTGTAGTGAAATTTTATCAACTGACGATTGAGACACTGAATGCCTTTCAGTTGCCACTTGTTTGAATTGCATATTTGCGATCTCTTTGATTATTTTTTTGATGTTTTTGTTAATTTATAAATTGGTTTGGGCAATGCATTAGTATTCAGGTGGAGCCAATGAGACATGATAGAAACTGGTCCTGAATAATCACCATTTTGCATGTCCATGTAGTCATGTGCATATATGAAGTGTAGTACTTATTTTCCTGATCATTTCTTTATTTGAAATGCATCTTATTTGGCCTAACTGTCTTACAGTGATGTGTGGTCCGGATGATACTGTTTTGATATCTCTTACTTGTTGCAGGTCACAATGTTTAATATTCTGAATGATGATTTTGCATGCAATTTGCAACCCTTGAATTTTCAGCATCGAATGGAAAAGGACAATCTCCAGAATCTTTTGGTGGTATGAACCTAAGTGATATATGCCCCTGTTTAATTGTATTTTTCTTTGCATTGATATTTGATGTCGCATTGGACCGCAATTTGCACTTAGATGTACCTGCTATTTTTTACTTTGTAATAGTATTTCTATTGGTTGTTTTCCTTGAAGAGTTGTAGTTGTCATATGGCAAGTATCCAAGTGTTATCATAAAAAAAAGAGAGGCAAGTATCTGTATGTTTTTGAACATTTATTAGTATTTTGACATTGCTCTTTGAATATCCACATGTTACCATTGAAATGGAATAATATTTTGAACATGGAATGGTATTTTGTGAAATGGCAAGTATTTCTTTTGTTGGAAAAATGGGGTTTAGCTTGTTTTATCGTAGTGATACACTGATACATGATTACCTAAATATATTCTCTTTGAATTTTTTGTTGGTTAGAGTTTGTTCATGCCATCATCCTTGAGTTTATTGCATTGCTTTTTTTTGGTGGCTTGGAATTTGCAATGTTTAACATCCATCAGTTTTTGCTAGTTCACATGTAGCCTTCCAAAATTGTTCATTGTGATGTAAATTAGTTGCGGAGTTATTACGTGTGCACTGTTGACTGAGACTCAGATGTCAAAGTTGAAGAAACTGGATCCTTTGTGCTAATTCTTTCACAATGTCACTGGTTAGCTGAACTAATTCCTTACCATTCTTTATTATTTATTTTGAAAGATATAAGCTAAGCTGACAATTGAGACTCAGTTTAAGCTAACAATTCTGGACCATATCCGAGGTGTTGTTCTGTGTCATCCCAATTTGTATTAGACTTGTTAGATTTGTGGATTCAGCCCATGGACATGATTTGGAACATGTGTGAAGTTGCTAAATATGATTGGTTAGGTTGATATAATAGGTGAAGACTCTGACATCATTCTACTATTGATTTGTTATGGGGAATGTTTCTATCAAACATCTAGAACTCATCCTGTTACTCCCTATCTCCTGAACTTTCTATAACTCATCCTGTTACTCCCTATCTCCTGATCTTTCTTCTCTGGCATTTCCTAGTTCAGTAAACTACATTAACATCTTACATTTTGACTTAAAATTCTGGTGACTTAAAATTCTGGAGTCTGACCTGTACTTCCATGTTCAGATCTTTTGTTAGTGCATATGGCTTTGAAAGCCATGATACCAGGATCACCAACGCAGGTGGCAATTTCACTCTTGAATCTCGCTTTGGTGCTTTGGGCGAGGGATCTTCAAGGATATCAATTTCGAATTTTAATTGTTTTTTTATCTCAATCCCCACTGTTAGGGGTCAATATCCCAAAAGGGTGTGAGCAATCCTAACCTTTTGAAGATTGCAATGTTTAATTTTTACAAAAAATTAGTAGTGTAATCTTAAAATAGTTCTATTTATTAAGGTTGCACTATTTAATTCTAGTTCTAAGTGCAATTATTATAAAATTAAACAGTGTGGTCTTAATTTCTTGCACGATCCCATAACGTTGGAAGCGAGATCCTCGAAAGATTGGGAACAAGATCCCCAAAAGGTTGGATCGAGATTCCTAGCATATGCATTGTACAGATGGCACTCCCCAACATTGGAATTTTCTAGTCTTTAGTTATCCTTCACTTCCAATCTGTGAATCGTTTCTGATACCGCTCCCAAATCCAACAACTATGTTGTGAGCAAAGAATGTGATTTCAGAGTGGATTTTAGCATTTACATGTACCATTTTTTGCATGTTTGTGTTTGAATGTACTTGAGTACTTTTCATCATTGTTGGCAATGGGAGTGGGTGCAGAAACTGGAGCAGGTTTGGGAGCTTGGGCCCAACCCCTTGTTGGAGCTTCCTACCTTGGGAGCGCCTGAGAGTATTGTTCAGGGAGCAGCCTGATGTATGCATAATATGTATATGGGAGTGGTCGGGGGGCAGTCGTTTTTATATATATTACATATATGGAGCTCCTGAGGGTATTGTTTAGGAGCAGCCTGTTGTGTGTACCATTTATATGGGACCTGTTGGAAAGCAATCTTATCTCTCTCTCTCTCTCTCTATATATATATATATAAGTAAATATCAAAATTGAAAAGTGTATAATACATATGAGAATCTGTACCATTAATCTCTCTCTCTATATATGTAAGTAAATATCTCTAACTCTATCTCTCTTTCTATATATATGAGAATCTGTGGCCTGAAAGTCCCATAAATATTTGAGAAAATGAGATTGTAGGTTGATGATAAAAGCTGAACTTAGGAATTGCCTGAGTTCCTACAGTGAAGTAGGGGTACGATACATGGGGATTTACTATAGTGAGAGCTGCTTGGTTCTAAACAACTTGGTCAGTTCCTTGATTTGGGACTATCTGCGACTGGGACAACCCCCACCCCCACGCACAACTAAATAAAAGAACAGCCCAACCAACCTAAAAGAATGTCCAAACCTACTTGGATGTTCCAAGTTGGCTTGCCAGGTTTCTACCACTGATGTGAACCACAATCATGATAATGGGGAAGGAAAATCATCAACAGGTAGTTGTCAGCTAGAAAATCATTAGAATATAAAAATAGAACAAAATCAGAGACATTGCGTTGAAAATTCAAAAAGTTTTGAAACTCCTTTGGGGATCATGAACTCTTTAAACCCGGATTATACCCATTTTCAAGGGGGTTGTGATATCCGGATTCCTTGCAGATAGGGATTGATATTCCCTGCTGGGAGGGGGCAATTTCCGATCGGGCTCCGGCTCAGGGATAGCTGGAGCTATTCCGAGGGGGGAACACGGCTACCCAACAATGCTCCCCTCCCCTCATCTATGGCAATTTCATCTAGTAGGTTACATTTGTGTCTTGGCCTAATCAAATAGACTGTATTGTTGAGGTGACTTGGTGATAGTGTTTCTGTTAGTATGTTATGTAATTTATTGTTTGGTTGTTCTATTGGCTGCAGTAGTTTTCTTGTTCTAAATTCTCTTTGCAGCAATTTTGAAATTAAAAAATTTTTAGATGCTCTTTTGTCTTTTCTCAAAACAATCTAATAGGAGATGTTTTGGCACATCTTTGGTTAGCTTGTTCCCTGTAAATGTTATTGTTTCTTGATTCATAATGAGTCTTCAAAATCTGATGGACATTGCTTGCATGTAGATAGGTACACAGTATCAACTTGCAAAGGCAGCAACCAGGATTGCGACTTTGTCAAAGGTTTGTTGGAGAAGTTGAAGACCTATAATTACTTAACTTTTTGCTTGAAGTTTGAAATCATCATTTTGTTTGTTCCATTTAAGTTCATGATATTTAACTGTAATGTGAAAATTCTCCATTTTCTTATTGCACTCCATATGTGCCTTTGTTCCTTTATTTTTTGGATCTACTAATTGAGTTTTCTAAGTACAAATCAAGTAAATACTGACAGCCGTTTGACCTAAAATGGTCCTCAAGTTACTGCAGGGATGTCAACCAATCTCCTGATCAACGGCAAAAATCCTGTCCTCCAATACTTACGTCACCTTCCAAAGATACCTCTCCTCTAGAACCCTATTGTGTATAAGATATTTCTTGTATTCGTGATGGCCAACGCCATGCCTTCTTGATTTCCAGCTCTCTTTCGGGAAAAAGCATAAAATCCTACAATGGGTTCTGATCCATTTCTCTACCTGAAATCTCTTCTTATCAATATCACCAAGAACTTCCTATAAAGTATAATAAAGTATGAAAATCTTGGTAAATTATTTCATGTAAAGACAAAAAGATGTAGGACTCGAAACAAAAAAATCCATCTCATATTGGAGAGAGAGACAATCTGGAGAAATTGATGTGGTAGTGAGTCCTTGCTTTGTGAATTACTGGGAACTTTCTGTCATAGAAGTCCAACTGTAGTTTTCCTTTCCACATAAGGCTTCCACCTCCAGGCACGAAGAAAGACCTTCCCACTCCCTTTATTGGCCTTTTCTTTGTCCATGGACTCGCTAAAATAGTGTCACACTTCCCTCATGACTAAGTTACTGTAAGCAGGGACACAAAGGATGTCCTACCTCCTGAGAAGTGTTTGTATATATATGTATGTGTATGTATCTTCCTAAGCACATCTTCCTGAGCACATCATTCTCTTTCATTTCTGCTATTTGTTCCATCATGAGAAGAAAAAGTATGCAAAGACTATCAGGTGGAATCTAAGCCGATTCTTTTTTAGTAACAATGGGTTTACATGCTTTTAGGAAGCATCTTACTTGTGAAAGCAGGAACAATTCTTGATATTGATGTTTTCATTGGTAGCTTTAGGTTAAAATATCTAGTAGGTTTTTAAAATGTAAGCAAATTACACAAATGAAAATGTTCCTTTAGATGCTAGAACTTATGAGGTTCTACCATTTCGAATGGTGTTCGTTTCTGCTTTATTTTTGTCAATGAAAACCGAATTATTTTTCTTAAGCATTCTGCACTTAATTTTCTTCTAACTGAAGATTCCTTTATTTACCGTCCAATCTCTAATTATTTAACATCAACTGGAGTTGGTCCAGTGAGGTCTTTGATTTCATTAGGAATGGTGTCGGGAACTAACGGACTTAGATGAATATTTTGGAAACTATCTAGTCATGTTGGGTGGTATCCTCTTTGTTGACAACAACAGCTGGAACTGGGTGATATACCATTTCACATCTTAGAGCTAGTGCATGAGCCTCTGCCCCCATTGCATGTGCCATTCCCTGTTCAATCTGCATTTTTATTTTGGTGTTTGAGCAATGCCGCATGCTCATATCTAGTGACAATGAAATCTTTGATGAACAGACCTTTGGGTAGGGAAATCAGTGTCTCTTGGACTGATACAATATTGTATAAATAACTTTTGACCCAGTTTTCATTTTTGTAAGGAATATGCCATGCTAATGTAGGATAGATCGTCTATTTGTTGCGTTCTGCTGATAAAATTAATAGTCAACTAAGTGATGACAATATCCATTGATTTTACATAACCATGGTGCTTAGTCATTCTTGGAATATCATATTTCATACATATGACTTGTATTGTTCAATCATTTTTTGTGTATGTGACCTTTCAGGGTATCTTGTGCATGTCAAGGACATTTCAGGGAATCATTGATTTGGTATGCTTTCTTTTTGATGAAAATGAATGCGGATTTTAAAGTTTTTAGCTAAGTTAATAGAGGCTTGCCTGGCTCAGCTATCAGTCTCCTAGATTATCCCATGTGTGCACTCCAAAAAGGATGAGCTCCAAACAACTTGGACACTTAGAAATTTTGTGGCTTCCATTTGTTGTTGAGAAGCAAACCTAGAAAAATTAATAAACCATGATTTTGCTCTATTTTCTACAACTATGATGTCCATTATATATTAACATGTAGAATTGCATTGCTATTTTTTTTTATCGCTGAAGAAAATTTTTATTACTACAATAAAATTACACAGAAAAAGAAAACGTGAGCAAAGATCAAGAGATGTCAAGACAACACTAATGGTGAAATTTTGTAAACCTAGAGTGGTTCTTGAAAAGAACCCCTACATTGTGAAGTTTATGAGCCTCTTTCGTAGCTCCCTGAAAATGTGCATAAAAAAAAAAATCACTTTTTTATTATCTCAAATGTCAAAGATCTCACCATATATTTTCATCAACCTCCATGGAATACTGTTTTCAGGTCCATCTTATGAAATTGAGAGAATCCCTTTGCACTACCAATTGATTCCTAGAATTGAAGGGACATATCCATAGACCTACCAGTAAGTAGTGCATGACTCTCTGCTATTTTAGAATCACATATACTCAGTTGGCTTGGCTTGTATGGCTTCTAAGCTTCCTGCCCTCTTCATCTCTAAAAGTCCCACCTATACTTGCTGGTTCTGTGTCATCGATGAACATCAATTAAAATTTAGCTTCATAGTATCCTCCACTGAAGCAGCCCAAACTGTCCTTGGTTGAAGCTAGAGTAGACCGGATAAGGCCAACATCTTCCAATCCTTGACCAAGTCAATGGCTTTGAAATATCAAAATTCTGGTCGAAACGAAATCCACAAGATCACCATATTCCTAGTTCTCTCCTTGAGGAACTTGTGCACCCTTCGAAATTCATAAGAATATGGCCATTCTTCTTTACCAAATACACCAAATAATGACCATAATGTTCAATAGCTGGAGCACCAAGCCCCTTGTGGGGTTTCCATATGGACACACCCCACCATAAGGTCATCCACAAAAAGTTGAGGTTGCTCATTGCATGCCAAAGAGAGTAAGAACGTAACCCGATATGGTTGTAGCATACTTACAGTGAATAAGAAGGCAACATGCCATTTCCTCCTTATCTTGGCATAAAACACCCATATTGGAAACTGCATACCCCGCCTTTGAAGGAGTTGACAGCAATAGACTCCCATGGCATGCCAACCACTGCATGTTAAAACTGAATCACTTTGCAACTTGTCTAGTTTGATGCTTCCCTATATTGGACATATGCTTATTTATTCTTACAATCATTCTTGGAAGCATATACATAATAATAAGACACACTGTTACCTACCAAAAAACCTATTCTCAGGACATGACATCAGGCCCACTCATACTTTTGTCATTTTTATTTCCTTCTATTCTTCTAACCAGTGAAGTGACAAGTTTTGCCTTGTCGGACTTTTTCCTCTTAAGTTGCATGCTATTTCAAGGTGTAGTTGGACAAAGGATATATGTACAAGTGGTAAAAAGTGGAATCTTTGTCATTTTGTTCTTGTTGAGTACTCCATTATTCCAATGTTCTATTTCAATTTGAAGGTGTGTTTTATTCCATTGTTCTATTTCAATTTGTTTCTGGCTACAGAATTGGCATGGGATAGGCCATTCTCCTTCCTTCATTGGATAGCTATAGTTTATGCTATTTCACTCTCTGAAAAAATGATCTCTATGTGCTGTACTCACATGGAGCTTGTGTTTTGCCATCGCATGATAGAGAGTTAAAGAAATTATTTACCTATTCTTTTTCACTTATGATATGAGTGACCTTTCTCCCTCTTAATTTTGTTATGTTGGCTAGATATAATTAGCAAGTTGCTTTGTACAACGAGAAATGGATGTATATCTTTAAGTGTCTCTCTTTATCTAAATATGATATGGTGTCTGATGGTTCTTTTGCCAAATTCGGGCCAGTTTTCCTGAACAAATGGATTGATTTTGTTTCATGATCCCATATGTCACCATATTAGCATTTATGTTTATGTTGAGGTGACGGGTGATACTGAAGGCTCACATTCAATATCTAGCTGGGATATGTTTCTTGGCTTTCGTCCACTGTCATGGAAGAGAAATAAACTAAAGTCGTTTCAGAAAATTTAGCATAGAAATCGAGATCTGAGTTGTGCCAGCTTGGGATGTGATGGATTGGTTTTGAGCTCTAATATATAATCTGGGTCTAGAAGTTACTAATCTGCTTATATGCTTATGACACCATTGCCATTCAGATCATGAAAGATGGGCTGCCTTACCACTAAAAGGAGATTCATTTTAGGTTTTAATGATCCTCCTCATACACATTGGAGTATTTCTTCTTTTTATATCGTCTTACTAACGGGAAGGGTAGATGTATACCTCTGATATTAGTTCAGAAACTGTCATGGGTAGATCTTAAATGGGCCGCTTGAGAGGAAGAGTGCTGGCCTACTCTAGTTGGGATATTTTTAGTTTCTATATATAAGGTTAGCAAGGTAATTCTGTATTTAAAGGACATTTGGTCTTCTGGACTACTATGGAGTTCTTAAATAGATTTTGACTACTGCTGTCTTAAGGTATACATTAGCGTTCACTTATGCATTCTTTTAGGAATCTGCATACCTTTGCCATTTCAATTTTCCTCAATTTCTTGCGATCATTTGTCAATGTTAAACTTGAGAGATAATAGTTTGGCTAATTTAATGAAGTTTTTAATGCCAAATAATTAGTTAATTCCACTATTCTAGAATTCAGATTAGGCCGTCTAGGTTCCTAGGCGGCCCAAGAGAAGAGGAGAGAGAGGGGGGAGGGGGGAGGGGGAGGTTGGTTGGGTTAAAACTCTCTCTCCCTCTTATGGTTTCTATTTGTTTAAAAAACTAGATTAATTCCAGGCCATGTGCATCTGTATAAAAAAATGAATGTCATGGTCATGTTCATGTGTTATTGTGTAAATATACCACATGAATGCTTTTTTAAGTACCACACTGTCTCTTCCAAAATTACAGAAAGATGCTTTTTCGCACCAACATAAATAAAAAGATTACATCTAGGATAAAGACTCTCTCTAAACACCAAATTTTCTCTCTAAAATAAAGAACCATACTTTCTCTCCTAACAATTACAAAAGGATACATTTTCTCTATCTAAAATTAATGAAACAAAAGTACAACTACAATAAAGACTCTCCTCTCTAAAGATCAATTCTCTCTCATAAAGAAATGAACCATTTTTTTTCTCTCTACCCAAAATCAAAGGGTACTTATTCTATTTAAAATAAATGAATGGAAGTACACTATTATAAAAAATCTCTTTGTAAAGACCAACTCACTCTTCCTAAATAAAAGAACCATATTTTTTCTCTCTAAGACCAATGAGCAAAAGTACAACTACGTTAAAAACTGATGGAGGGCAAAATTATTCTTATTTTTAATTTTTATTCAATTTCAAATGATGTATATTATAGTTCTAGTTTTGGGATTTATTTATAGGTTTTTAGTTTTTTAGGGGTTATGAGGTTTTTATATTTTTTATTTTCTTTATGAGTACTAGTCACAAGTAATGTTGACTGTTCATGGCTACTGTTCACAGGTGTAGAACTAGCTTTACTAATTTTGAGTTTAAGCTAGGATATATGGTTTAGTGTATTATTTGTTTGGACACTTTTTGTCTTGGAACATTAGATGATATTATAAACAGGTGGTGAGGGCCTAGGAGAAAGCAGTCGCATGATTTTCCAGAATTGAGAAAAAAGAAAGCTTGAGTGTGGAGAAGAAACCCTATGCTTGTGTTTGGCTTTGTTTTTGCTAATTTTACAGTTTTCTCAAAGTTTCCTGCATCAATTTGGAGTCAGAGCTCAGGGTTTCTTCAATAACAAGGCCAAGGAATTGCAACCAAATCTAGGGTTTGCTGATTATGAACCAAGCTTTGCCAAATCAGCCTAGATCTTGCTGATTTCAGCAGGTTTTTGTTGATCATCTGCCTAGGATTTGTGATTTGGCGAACCCATGGTGGCAAGAAGGATTGTCGGAGGAGAGTTTCGTAGATCCTCTCCGTGATCTTTGAGATTATAGAATCATGGAACTTGACAGGAAAGTTCAGTAGCTGATGCAGCGTTCACGAGCCTCAATAATGGGCAAGATGGTGATCTTTCAGCCCAAGAGGATCTCAAGTACAAACCTTTTCACTTCTGCGCTCCGCGTGTGGAGTCGAGTGATGAGGATAGTGATAGAAGATGTTCCCTAGGATTTTCTGGTTAAAGGATGAGATTTTTGATTTTGACACAAATTGCATCATAAATCAGGAAGTTGTAGATTGGAATTCACCACCAATCTTCGATGCATCCTCCGACGAACGATAAGATCGTTTAGGGGATCTAGTCTATGATGATGATCAAGATGATGGTGAAGAGATTTGGAAGATGGTGAAGAATATAGAGAGAAGGCAGCAAGGGGACTAATCCAAATCATGGCCTTTGAAGATCTTATTAATATCAAAGATGTAGAACATTCAAGAAATTTGGGGTATTGGAATCAGAGTAGTGCAGACGAAATATTGTCAACTCATAAACCTCAAATTGTGGCCTTGATTTTAGTAATTAATGAAATGGATGTCAAGAAAACCTCTAAAGACCAGAGAATTGGGTTTGAAGTTTCCTTCACGATTTTCAATGGGTGTTCAAGGATAACCGTATCTGATAAATTTGCATTGAGTCCTCTATATACATATCAGGATCCATTTTTTAGGAATTCTTTTTACCAAAAATAATATTTGAGCTGACAAAGAAAAAGAAGTTGAAGATAGAGGTTTTGATTTTGAATTCATGTCAGCACACTTCAAAATTCGAGGACGAGTTTTCTCCAACAAGGGGATAATGATGGAGGGCAAAATTATTCTTATTTTTAACTTTTATTTAATTTCAAATGATGTATATTAGAGTTTTAATTTTATGGTTTATTTCAAAGGTATTTTTAGTTTTTTAGGGATTCTAGGGTTTTTATATTTTTTATGTACTTCATGAGTACTATTTAAAAGTACTGGTCATGAGTACTGTTCACAGGGGTAAAACTGTCATTACAAATTTTAAGTTTTAGCTAGGATATTTGGGTCAATGTATTATTTGTTGGGACACTTTTTGTACTTGAAATATTAAATAGTATTATAAAGAGGGGCATGGGGGGCCTAGGAGAAGGCAATCGCATGATTTTCCAGAATTGAGAAAGAAAAAGCTCAGGCTTTTGCAACCTACATTGGGTGTGGAGAAGAAACCCTAGTTGTTGTTGTTGTTGTTCTTCCTCCTTTTTTTTTTTTAATTTTGCATATGTTTGGCTTTGTTTCTTGCTGATTTTACTATTTTCTCAACTTTTCCTGCATCAAAAACTCTCTCTAAAGGCCAAATTCTCTCTCGAAGTAATATAACCTTGTACTCTTTCCCAAGACGACTGTGTTTTTTCCTTTTCTTTCTTTCATTTTTTGAACACTGGTTAATTCTAGTTGATGCATGTTTTCTTTTAATGTGTGTAGTGCCGGTGATTATATTTTCATTAAACGTAGTAAAAATGGCTAGAGTGACTAAACATAATGTTTAGTTTTGATATGTACTCTCAGTGATATGGTAGGTGCTGATAAAAATGGGAACCGAGAAGTTTAGTACTTGTGTGTTCATGAGTATTTGATTTTCCTTTCACGGTGTGTTTGTTGCTAGTGAGAAAGATGATGTCTTACGTTCTTTCTTTATCAGTATGATGCGACTTTCTTCTTTTTGCATAATGATAAGCTTATTGTAAAATAATTTGAACTTATTGGTCAAATTTCAAGATACAGATATTCCTGCACTATACTATACTATGAAATATCCCATGTGTTTGGGAGGTAGAAGAAGCTTTCAAGCTACTAAATATTCCATTTTCCCTAGAAGCACTGAATGTCGAGATGTGTTTTGTATTACAGGATGTGGCAAAATGGTTGGAAAGGGAAATCCGGAAGGAGCTTTCCAAAAGGATTAGCAACATACTAAACTCTTTTCGGTTGCTTCCTAGTGGTATGATAACCAATTCCTTTGGTTACAAGGGGAAGGAGTTTTTGTATGGTTATATGATAATGATTGTGCTGCTAGTGGGAGTAATACTACATATATGCACTGATGGTTGCAGATAGAGATAAGTGGTATTGTTTGAAAAATCTTAAGTTAGAGGATTGGATGGTTGTCATATTGCCCTTTCATAAGTATGTGAGAAGTTGTAAATGAAAAGAAGTTTGCATGGTTATACAGGATATTTGCTCTTTCATTGGTCTCACGCAATGTCCTTTGGGTAATTGTTTTACTTTTGCTTAGTTACTTTTGGTCGTCTTGTAAAGGGTCTATATATAGTTTGCATTTTATAGAACTCCATTACATCTGCTTCGTCAGTAATACTTATATTCTTTATCATCAACTTATGTATAGGATGTGAAAAGCTAATCTCTTAGCTCATATGTCATACTTTACAATTTTGTTTTAATAAAACATTTTGTTGCTGAAAAACCTTATTGTTTTGACATGGAATATATAAGAAAAGAAAGAACGAAGATTCTTGAAATGGTTAAACTAGAGTTAACATATTCTAAATGGGTTTTCTTTCCCTATCTAACTTCCCTCTAAAATTGGCTTCGGGGTTGGTGCATGAAAGCTACATGAAGGGCAGTTTTTCTGCTGCTAATAAGTCTGGTGAAATTGTTTGTTCCCTGGAAGGTGCAATTTTGGTTTATTGCAACATAACATCCAAGGGTTGGAACCCAAGTCAAACCTGCCCAAAACAAAAAAAGATATCACCCAAATTGAGAAAAGGAAAAGAAGAACTAAAAAGCAAAAATAAAAAGAAAAATAATGAATGAATAGCTGTTTGCTTCAGTTGAAGAGGGTCTCTTTGGATTTGTTGGCTGATCTAACTTCTCTCTATAAAGGGCCTGAAAAATGAACTGAAGAGATTTCTCTTCAGCCAGGAGGCAAATTCTGAAGTCTTCAACTAAAGTATGCTCAATACTGTTTTGTTGAGTTAGTATCATGTCCAATGATTGTTTTTACTATCTTTTTTTATTAATTAAATGCTCTTTTGGCTTTACTTGTCAACTTGCAAATCTCCTTACAAGAAATAAATGCTTAAACCACTGTTAAAACTTTAAAGCAGTTGAAATTGGTTTCTTTTCCTGCATCATGTTTCATGAAATTTGTGCGTTGGTGTGTTGTTTTGTTCTATTACCTTTTGTGATTTATTCTTTGAATTGAGTCAGTGGTTTGCTCTTATTGTAGTTAAATTGCAGGAGCTGGAGGAGAATGTGCGTGCATTGATGGTCTCTTTGCACACACAATTTCAGTTATTGGAAATTTTACTGGTATGAACTTCATGCATGTAGTTTTACTTACCGATTTCCTGCTTGTTTCTATGTGAAAATTTTTAAATCTAAATATCTGTTCTTCGTTGAGGGCATGAAATGTATTGCAGTTTTTCTACTAGTCTTTTAGAAGTAGAAGTACTCTATTGAATGTTTTAGCGCATGAAATTCGTTTCATTTGTTTGATTGAAATAAATGTTGTTCTGTTGTGCATGCAGGGTTTTGTTCATGTTCAAGGGCAGCATATTTGGGAAGAAGAGCTGACCTTCATTTTGAACCATAGTTTGCAACAAGTAGGCAATCTGCTATGTCTGTCTTGTCATCCTTGCAATCTATGACTGCATCTTATGTTTTATGTCGATATCTAGTAGGAGTATTGCAAATATGTGGAAAGAAGAAAACAAGATTTGTGCTGTATGCAAGAAATCAACAACCTGTCCAATCCTGAGACTTTCTTGGGTAAGTATTCACATGACTTTACAAAGCCTTGACAGAACACATTGTAATAATTAGAATATAACACAAATGATGTTTACGTTAATATCGTTATTCCTGCAGAAAACTAATTGTATTCCCACAGAGTATATCTTTCCCCCTTGTACTCGCATAGATTGGTTGAATTTCTGCGGTTTGCGTGCTCTCTCCACTCAGATAACAATAGTCAATTAAGAAATGTGATGCCCATTATATGCTTTCTCTTTATGTATAAATTACCTCTTGGTTTGAGGCTTGACCTGTGTAATGATTCTCAAAGACAGAAAGCCATCTTCTCTTATAGACTACATAGCAAATAGGGGATGGGTTTAGATTTGCACAATTTTCTGTTTAAATATAAGAGTAAGTTTTAGCTAATAGCTACTCTTTGGTGATTAGTCCTGTATAGAATTATATCTTTTATTGAAATTTATGAGAATAAACATAGATGGTGTCATTTTGCTCCATAAGATGGCTGATGTAAGAGAAGATGCCTCCTATTTTTAATATTTCTTATTAAATTTTAAGGATGTTTTTTGGAATTTTCTTGGGTTATTTTTTTATTTTATTTTTGTATTTTTTAGTATTTTAAAAAATGTTTAGAGAAGTTGTAAAATACTTATGGAATTACTTGTCTTATGCGGGGTAAAGTGTCCTCAAGAATTTTCTTTTAAGTCCAGACTTTGGGGGCCATTTTGATTGTTGTATGGACATTTAATGTCCTCGAGAGGGTTCATTCATCGTGATTTTGTTTTCAGAAAAGAAAGAGCGAAAGCTCTAGGCTTTTGAACCCTAGCTTGGGTGTGAGGAAGAAATCCTAGGGTTTCTCCTAGTTGTTGCTAGTGTTTGGCATGATTTCTTGCTAATGTTACTGTTCTACCAATTTCACTTCATCAATTTGGTATTAAAACTCAGGTTTTCTCCATCAACAAGGCCAACAAACTGTAAACAAGTCTAGGTTTTGATAAATTTGGGCCAAGATTTGCTAAATCTACCCAGAAGAGGTTTTGTTGAGCCTCTGCCTAGGTTTAATGATTTCAGCAAACCCATAGCAGCGAAACGTGGCTGTGAAAGGGGCTTTCACATATCCACTTTGTTTTACTAGAAAAGAAGTCAATGTGAAAGGCAAGTTCAATTGCTAATGCAGTAGTTCGTGAGTATCTATCATGGGCAAGATTGTGATCTTTCGGCCCAAGACGATCTCGAGTATGATCCTTTTCATCGTTGCGCTCCCTGTGTGAAGTTGAGTGATGAGGACAGCGACAGGAGTTTTAGACGTGTGGAGTGTTGCTTTAGGGATGTTGGTTTGAAGGTGGACATACCTGTATTTTTGACAATAAGCCTGAACCCAATGAGTTTATAGCTTGGTTAAATATTGTAGAAAGGGTTTTTGATTATAAGGTCTCCAAAAAGAAAAGAAAAAATTACTGCTATAAGATGGAAAAGAGACGCCTCAGCATGGTGGGAACAACTTAGGGTTAGAAGGGAGAGGATGGGAAAGTTCAAAATTAATACTTAGAAGAATATGAAAAAGAAATTAAAGGAAAAATACCTCTCTGAAAATTATTTGAAATCCTTTATTAGAAGATGAATTATTTTCATCAGGGTGAAAGAGTGAGAGGAGCATATAGATGAAATTTATGAGTTGATGGCTTGTAGTGATGTGATTAAAAGAGATGAACAATGTTTAGCTCGCTATGTTGGTGGGCTGAGAACTTCTAAAGATGTGGTGGTTTTGCAGTATTACTGGACATTAGATGAGGCTTACAACCTAGCAGGGAAGGTTGAAGCTTAATAGACGTGTCTGTCATCAAGGTGGGGTATAGCCTAGGGTTATACAAGTGGCAGTGGGAGTGAATTTAAGGGGAAAAGGTGAGAATTTTGTGGCTGGACAGTTTGCACAGCGTGCTAGCCTGTCCAAACAACTGGATGCAGTGGGCATTGGGGCCAGTTCTAGGCGTCCAAAGTACCCAAATTGTTGGTCATTAAAAGTGTTCATGAGTTAAACACGTCTACTTTCAGTGCCTGAATAGAAAATTTGTGAACCTTGCAGAAATGTTTCTTGAAGAGGACAACAAGCTATCTTTTGATGGAGACCTTGTTGTGATGAGGAACTAAGGTAGAAGAGCCAGAATTTACATTTAATGACCACGGAGAGGCTTTGGTGTTCCGGTGATTACACTCCGAGTAGTAGACGAGGGAGATTGGCTAAACCCAATTTCACATTAAATTGTTACCAAGCAAGTCATTGAGTGGAATTTTGGCACTCTGGAGCTTGTGTTTGATGAGTGTTCAGATGAAGGAGGTAGTGATCCAATTTTTGATGAAGAACCATGTGACAAGAAGGAAGGTGACAATGATATAGATGAAGATGGAGAAGTTTTGGAAGAGGAACTTGCTGATTTGATTAGTGAACTAGGGGATGGAGATGATCATTTCGAAGATGCTCCCTTGGTCTATTATAGGGCTGAACAAGGTAATTTCGGCAACTCTATATGGCTGAATTGATGCAATTTCAGCTAGTTATTGCGATTGAACTGAGCCTAAATATCATCTACATGTAGTGACCCTTTCCTCGAGGGGTTTTCAGAAGTGTTTATGGATATATCAACTGATTGCAAGGACTCAGTTTAAATGCTCAATCATCGTGTTTTGATTAGTCCAATAACCCATAAGTCAAGTCCCATGATCGTTTTTCAATGTTCGGGTTGAAGAATGTTGCATGACTGATGCAAAATTCATCTTGGCTTATTTCAGAACTCAAGAATGAGTTTCTCCAACCAGAGGAGAATAATGCAAGAGAAGATACCTCCTACTATTGAATTTTTCTTATTAAATTTTAATGTATTTTTGTAATTTCTAGGTTTATTTTTAAGTTAACTTTTCTCAAAAAAAATTTCTAGGATTATTTTAAGGTTTTTTAAGTTTTTTAGGTAATTTAGGGTTTCTATATTTTTTAGGTGGGCAATGTACCTATGCTTGGGCACCCCATTTTGAGCGGCTGTACTAGGTGGGCGCTTACGTGGGTGCCCAAGGCCATGGTTTTTTTTGTTTTGTTTTGTTTTTGTTTTTTGTTTTTGTTTTTTGTATTTGTTTTTTGTTTTTGTTTCTTTTCAAATTTTTAAGATGCCAAAAGGTGCCCAAGGCCATGGCATTTTTTGTTTGTTTGGTTTTTTTTTTTAAATTTTTTTTAAGATGCCAAAAAGGGCAATGAGGTAATTTTGACCCCCATAAAGTTTAAATAGATTATGGGGGTTATTTTATCCCCCAAAGTCAAAAGAACACTTCCATAAGCCCTAAATCTCTTTAGCTATACCTATTTATGAGAATCAAAAGTATTTTTTATGGTTTGAAGAAGCATCCTAGCCTTTACTTTTCTCATTGGAATTATTTTTAGTATGCTATTGGAGAGTTGGAGTCCATGTTATTATGGAACATGGAGAGTTGGAGAATATTACTGATACATAGATTATCATACTTTTAACTTTTTTTAAAGTTTTTGTGATTTGAATTTTGAAATTTCGAAAATGTTTATTAAATCTTAACATGTGATATGTTTGTATTGAAAAAAGTATGTTACAAATTTACAATATATACAAATGCAATAAATCACAAAATTGACACAAATATATGCATATGTGCATTTGGACAACACATATGTTATACCTAAGGAATTTGCACTACGGGGCGCCTGAGGTTATGGGCACCCAGGTGCTGGGCGCCAGGCCGGCTGCCTAGGGATCGCTTAGTGTTTTTTGAAACCTTGAAGGATAGTGGAAGTCATTGTCCATGTTTATCATGAGAAGATGGGAGTTTCCTCATATCTCACCCAAAAAGTGATTTCACCTCTCAAGAGTTATTTGTGAGTTGGAATCAGATTCTATGGTCTTATTTGATAATCTAGACTACATGGAATCATGATGAAACACTATTGCTAAAGAAAGACCTAGAAATTCTCCCAAAATTAATCTACAACATGAGTGTATTACCTTAGTTCTGAGGTTGCTATAACTAAGGTCTAGATTATTGAAGGTCAATCTAGCACCACTCTGTTTTCGAGCTCGAACTTCACTTTTCTTCATACTTGCACAAAGTTGCTGTGTGATAATGATTAGATGGGTTGGACTGAGGTACTTCTTGGTGTCCCCATGAGTCATACTATTGACATATCAAGCAACTGTTTCTTTTTATGGCCCCCCTTGATCATTTACAAACCTATTTGTGGTGGCATTTGGTTACTTGTTTGTTCCTGAGCTGCTGTACAACATTTCACTGTTTTGGTCTAAATCTGGGGTTGTGCATAAAAAGGCTAGTTGGGTGCTTATTTCGGATTATCAGGCTTTGAGCATTATATGTTGCATTTCTCTCTATTACGAAGTTGGTATTTTGCTGCTCCTATTTTGATGCAGGACAAAATTATTCATATTTTTAGTTTTTCTTTAATTTATTTTTGTGCCGTTCATGTGATTTACATATTTGAAATAGAAAGAAAAGCTCAGGCTTTTGGTGTCCTAGCTCGGGTATGGAACAAAAACCCTAGGTTTCTTCGAATTGTACTTGTGCGGTGTGTTTATTTGCTGATTTATACTGTTTCATCAATTTTCCTACAGCATTTTGGTATCAATGCTCATGTTTTCTTCAACAACAAAGCTAGCAAACTATATCCATGTCTAAGTATGTGTAATTTTGGGCCAAGTTTTACCAAATTAGCCTAGATCTTGTTGGTTTCAGCAAGGTTTTGTTGATTCTCTGCCAAGGATTTGTGATCTCGGTTTTATTGACCAACCCTAACCTAGAGACAATTTGCACTGTCTATTACAAACTCTAATGAGAACCTTAATATAATGAATGAAATAAAAAGGGTAATTCGGTCATTGATCCAAAAAAGATGAAAATACACCATTTTTGACCCTTCAAAGGCCGTTTCTGATGAAATCAGTTGCCTAAATCAGAATGTCTAGCTACGATTAGTGTCCACCAGTGAGCCTCATACTTGGTCTGAGCTACATTAGGTGGCCACGAATAAGCCCTATACTTGGGCTATGTTTCATCACTAATTCTTTTTGAAGACCTTTGATGAGATCTCGCATGATATCAAGTTACCTAAAAATCTGAAGTCAGTATTCTAACATTTCTTTCCTCTTCCATCAGGCATATTCAACGCTATTGAGAATTACCAATGCAGTCAATTTCGTCCCAAATACTCTATTTATGTTATTTGTGTAGTTGCGTAGTGATAAAGGTACTTTTTTTGTATGGTTTGCCTTATTTTGGGGATTTTATGGTCATGCTTCTATGTTTTTGAAATCTTATGCTATGTATCTATTGGAGGATCACAATATATTCTGTCATTATAATCTCCATTATCTGGTAGTGTTTGCCAACTCTTTTTTCATATTATTTAGTACGGCTTGTATGTTATCGGTGATAGATATTTCTACCTTATTTGTAGGAGCTAGACCTACAATGTCTATTACGTATGAACTTTCAGCCTTGTCTTCTATAATCATCTAACTATATTTTCCTTTCCTCTCGTGAACCTTTCCAGGACGGTTGCTGCATCAGATTCTTCTTTTGACTCATCCTTCTCAATCCATGTTCCTTGAACCTATGAGTGGGTGGTAGATATCATTTTCCTATTTACTACTGGACCTGTGTGTTCAAAAGATGTATGCATGCATCTTAAAATGTGTGTAATGCAATTTGTCAAAATTTCCTGTTACTATTGATGACAACTTGTGTGTCTTACAGGTTTGATGCTGGAGGTCACGAGCTATTGGGACTACATTTCTTTGATCTATTTGAATCGTGGTATGGTGCTTGTCTTTTATATATGTCTTAGAAGAGTGTTCTTTCCTTGGGAGTCGTAAAGGGTTTGAATCATGTTGACACTTTAATAGTCGAAGTATTAAACCTTCATGAACGTGTTTAGAAAACACAAAACATTTCCAATTATGATTGGGCGTGAATATTTTCTTTTTTAACTTTTAAGCAATTCTATTTCTATGAAATATTTGATTTCAAAGGAGGGGTCATGAGAGGTTTCTCAATTCAGTGTTATTTAACGTTGAAGATGCCTCAAAAGGATTTTTCCCCAACTTGGATTTGAGGGGTTGGGAGGGATCTGAAGCGTTATAAATGTCTCCAAAGCCCATGTGGGGAAATGACAAATATGTCTCCACTAGTGGGCGAAAAAGATTTCCTTACCCCAATCCCCAGGGAGTAGGGCTACATCAGATGGCTGTTTGGGCTCAGGCACCCAGGTGACCACCTAAAGTCTAGCTACTCTGCAGCAGACCTGGAGTTAGGCATGACCCGCTTGCCTATGCTATTATTTATTTAGTTTCCTAGGATATGATGCTGATAAACATATTTACATATATTTCTGTAAAAATCAAGAAGGGATGAATGAGGTAACTGAGCTGCATAATTCTCATAAACCTTCCCCATTTTGGGACAAAAAACATGAATTTTGTGGTCTGTGAGTAGAGGCAAAAGTACACAAGTTCCATCTATAATGTACTATTTCAGTATTACCTTCGTAATAGTACTTAGATACAGCCTATACAACAGAACATTTATCACTTACAATCCTGTCAAAATAGATGTGGACTTGAGACAAGTAGCAATTTGTGGACTATATGAAACTAGTGGTGGCGTGTAAGAGATGAAAGTTATGTGCTATTTTGCACTAATAGTGGTAGCTGCATTTCATATAAGTATCTGCAATGCTGTTATCAGGAAAAATGCCTGTACTTGCCTATAAATGCATGTCCTCTCTGTGCACACTATTGATTTATTCAAATGTCTTTTGTTGCAGTGTCGGACCTTTTGGACTTTCCAGTCTGGATTGTGCATTATATTTTCTTATCGTGGGGCATCTAGAGCAAGCGCTCAGTGGTTTGAGAAGTCTAGTAAGTGCTTATAAAAACATGTCATGCACTCCTATTTACAAAAGTATATAATACTCTCAGAGAGTTTATAGATTCGGTTATCTGTCCTTTTGTCCCTATGTTTGATACCCATCTATTTGTTTGTGGATGGCACATATATATTTCATGTTGCATTTAAGAGATGAAATTGTTTACAAACTACAAAAATACGTATTTAATTTGCACAAGGTGGATGGAGTATTGTAAACAAAAAAGAGAGAGAAGAGAAAGGTTTTTGTGCTTTTTTTTTTTTAATTAAGCTCTCCATGTCCCCTATCACAGTTATAAATATCCTAATTACGTTAGATTACTAGTGTACATATCAGAGAATTCTTGCATTCATGCCATCACTGGATATTGTTGCCCTCAAAATTCCAAAGATATTCCACCTGCCTTTGATGCATGGATACCGTTATCAAGGCTTTGGAGGCAATCACAACACCATTATTTAGTAATTTTACATATGTTTCCGAAGCAGGGGGGATGGGTATGACTATAGTTGTTAGAAACACGTGTTTCTAAATCATTTCAGGAATCAAAATCACGGAATCGCGGGTGTCAGGTGATTCCTATAGTCGAAATCGTCGCCCGAGCAATGCAAATCACCTGTTGCATGATTCCCTCTATATTGGAATCACGATCCACTAAATAGGAATCGTGTGTCCTATTTTGTTGGAATCCATATCCCATCATTTTGGAATTGAGATCCCTACCTTTCAAGAATCACGTACCAATCCACTCAGGACCATGCCAGAATTTTTAATTGAGAAAAGATTTGAAGTATTACATTATTTATAAGCTTGAAATCTTTCTAAGGTTGCACATCAATCCACTCTGATTGATTCCATCCAGAATTGCGATCCAATAAAATAGGAATCATGATTCCTATACTGTTGGAATCACTGCCTTATCACTTTGGAATTGAGATCCCTATCATCAGGAATCACGCACCGATCGACTCGGGACCATGCTAGATGTTTCAAGTGAGAAAAGATTTGATAAGTTCTATATTATTTATAAGCTTGAATTCTAGACTTCAAATATTGAGTACAATTATCCAAGGCCCATTTTATTCAGTTGGTGTCTTTGGTAGCCCTCCACTAACAATGGTCTCTGTGTATTGAATGCCCTTTTAACTAGCTCTCCACAACTAAAAAAACAAGGTCGAGCTCCCTTAGGTATCTACTTTCTTGGAGTATCTAGAACTCCAAGAAAACAACATGTCGTATGTGTTTCTCATGCTTATTTTGGGAATAAAACGTGGAATTGCATCTTCTACGTCGGGGTTTATCGAAGGTGAGAAAACAAACAGTATGTTGTATGTGTTTTTCATGCATCTTTTGATGATGAAAGCACGATATACATCTTCTCCCTTGAAAATGAGTTGTTGTTATCTGGACCTTCAGCTCATAGAGGGCTATGTCGTTTGACTCTTTATTGAAAAACCGTCTCAACATCGGGGTCTATCACAAGGTGATGAACCGGTAAAGTACTTACCAATGACACCCTCAAGGCTCAAGTTGAAAGTTGAAGATTCTGGTTGACGCTTACCTACAAAAGACATTACTATCATAATTTGCTAATAAATCAACAGATTTAGAAATTTGCATTTGAATCTTGATTTTGTATTATTAGAACTTTGACTCCGTGTTGATCGAAAT